ACCTCTGCCTCTACCTCTACCTCTGCTTCTACTACTACGACGACGACTACGACGACGACTACGGCTACGACCTACTACTACTACTGCTACTACTACTACTACTACTACTACTGCTACTATGACTACGACCCCACGACTGCTGTGGCTACGAAGTCGACGACTACTACGATTACTTTTTTTGCAACAAGCGACAAGTGTGACTGCTATTGTTATTGTTTATTTCATTGCGCTGTTGCTACTGTTATCCTGCTGTGTCTATTTTTATTGCGGCAGCGGTGGCGAACATTGGCATTCAACGACAACACTCCCGGACACGGCCGCATGTGCTGTAGCAATTCCTGACACGCTGTAACAAGGCAAGATCAGGGCCGAGTATATTGGCAGCAACAAGCAGCAGAAAAAAAGCATCAATAATTATAGGAGGCAGCGGACATGGTCGTGGGTGCCATAGCACTAGCTCGGTGATCGTCGTTGTCGCTGCTACTGGCGCCATTGGGTGTGTGGACGCAATGTGCTTGTCATGCGCAGGAAAAGTTGAGAACAGAAATCTACAGCCTGGAAAGCTGCGGCAACTCCGGCAAGCGGCTCGAGGCCCTCTTGGATGCAGCCCCACACAGCCATTTGGATAATAGCTGTACACATGATATGTATGAGGATGTTTGTGACGCTCAGGTGCCATGCACTTGGTGCTCGCCAGGGGTCCTAACGATTTCCACACGTAGTAACAAGTTCACCCGAATGAGGGACTACTGGCATCTTAGGTCTCTCAGCAAGGTGTGGCCGGTCGTTAGTTGCAGGCACATCAGGCGTAGCTCAGTGCAAGTTCCAACTTTTGCAGTCGTCAGCAACGCTTGCTCTTTGCCCAGAAACCATGTGCCCACCACTGAGATACGACATCTTGCCTTCATGTGTGTCAGGCCATTGCGCATACCATCTGCACTTCGCCGTCGCTGAGAATCCTTAACCTTCGCGAGAACCAGATCGGAGAGAATGGTGGCAAGGCGGATTTGTAGGCTTGGTTTGGTTTTCGGCTCAGAACTTGTGCGCAGCCCCCAAAGGCACAGTTGAATCCAACCATCGACAGCACCCAGTTCCTTTCCCCTGAAAAGATGGCTGGAAGCCAGCAAGGATTCCGGAGTTTCCCCCCCCCCGCCAGAGCTAAGTTTTTTGAACGTGTTTTTTGTGTTTTCGTGCCACCCTCAGAAGTAGGAGTGGTCGATTTTAGATAGTTTCGGTCGAGTGTCCTAGTACAGCAACTTCAGTTTGAGCGGCGTTTGTTAGAGCACCTTGACTGAGTGGCAAGTTTGGCACTGTTGCCGCGACTACTTGCAACCCTTGGAGTTTCTCTCAGGCGAAAACTTTACTATTGCTAGTAGTAGTAGGAGCAGCAGCAGCAGCAGCAGCAGCAGTAGTTAGTGGTAAGCGGTAGCGGTTGTGGTAGTGACGGAGGTAGTGGTAGTGGTACTGGTGGAGGTAGTGCTAGTGCAGCGACAGCAGCCGTACCAGTAGTAGCAAATGCGGAGGTCATCGCCGCAGTCATCGTCTCATCACTATTTGCTGCTAAGGCTAGGACCAGCACCTGGCCGCCACTAGATTTTGATGCTACATAGTCAAGAACTCCTGGCAGGTCTTGGCGGATGCCTTGCAGGGCCGGACTCTCCTGCAGGTTCTCGATTTGGAGTCCAATGACCTCAGGTCCAGCGTGAAGGCTGCAGATGTGAGCAAGTCCCGTCTGTTGGGGTGTTGGGTTGTTCGCATCAAGGCTCAGAATTGGAGGCTTAGAGCTTGGAGCTTTGACCTCAACAGCAAGTTGGCATGCGGAATGGCCACCGCATGCCGCGAGGTGGCGGTCGAACCCATCCAAAACCCAGTAAGGCAAGTGAGCAAATTGCATGACTAGCTGCAGCATGAGTGCCGTGGTCGTGAATCTTTTTCGTATATGAAGGGAGTTGCCATAGGTTGTTCTGGAGGTTGGTCCTCAAGGCCTATTTACCCGCAGCCTCAGCTCTGCCAAGTCGGATCTGCATAGGCCTTGGCTGCCCGTTTGCCTTCGCTGCCGGCACTGAAGACCTTCGTTCTTGCGAGAAATTCGAGCCTGGGCGCAGCTGCACATCAGTTATAGGTTTGTCTTCACTAAGAACAGGCACTTTCGTCCGGCGTTGTATAGCTTAGGATTGACGACGAGAGCGTGCAGGCACGGCCTGCGCATTAGGCTTGTCCGAGCATGGCAAGGTTGGCAATATGGCAGAACTATAGTGGAGGAATGTGATGGTCTAATTTGGGTTGAGGGTTTAGAGTCAGAGTTGTCGAGACGATTCTGCCTTGCCAGGTGTTAGCCGAAGCGATCACGGATCATAGCGCCTTGGATCTCGTGAACTTGACGGGAAACCAGATCAGCCAGAACGGAATGCAGGCGCGGGCTGCAGAATCACTTGTAATCAGCTGCCTGATCTCCTGAGTGTACAGTCCTTGGCTCTTCTTGGTATCCCTAAACCCTAAAGCTCTAAACCCTGAACCCTAAACCCTAAACCCTAAACCCAAAGAGGTGACAAACAAAAACAAAACTAAACCCTAAACCCTAAACCCTATAAGCCCTAAAGCCCTGAACCCTAAACCCTCAACCCCTAAACCCAAAGGCCCTAAACCCTAAACCCACTTGGGATAGGTGGGGATGCCTTGGACCAGGCCTTGGCTGCAACTCTCGGCAGGCGAACCCAGGCCGGTCGTAGCCCCAAGGATGTCACTCAGATGCTGGTCCATATTGCCAACACTATACGACTATCGCGACTATACGTAGTAGTAGTAGGCGCCCCCCCCCCTTACCAACCACCTCTGCTAC